GGAACCACCCGTTTTGAGACACTTATTATACAATCAAACCACCACACATTTCTGGTACCCTGGTGATTCCCAATTTATTTTCGAACTGCGTATTTTAGTAATTACCAGATTATTTTTCCTACTAATATCTTGAATGTTGGAATTCCCAATCTTCCATTTTTTCGATCTAGCTCAAGACATGTAGCTGGCTCAATTTCATCAGGGGTATGTTTTGACAGTCACCTTGGGCTTTTTCAGAGGTACCATATCTAGTACTAAAGTAATCAGTGGGGATTGAACCTGGCAATTTAATGCAATTTAACAGATTGGGAAGTTTCTGCGAGCTCGCTCAACTGCAACGAGCTGGCTCAGCACCATCGAGCTCGCTCAATGCCACGTAGCTGGCTCAGGGGCATCGAGCTAGCTCAATGGCATCGAGCTGGCTCAATTTTTTTAGCGGAAAAAAAAAAAAAAACTCGCAGAAATTGAGCCAGCTACGTCACGTTGAGCTGGCGGACGAATGTGAGAGCATCAAAACGAATACTAGCTATGTATTGGCCGGGTTCATGACGCATTGGCGAGCCGGCTCAAGGGCATGTAGCCGGCTCAATTTCTGCGAGGTTTTTTTTCTTTTTTTTTTCACTAAAAAAATTGAGCCAGCTACGTGGCGCTGAGCCAGCTACGAGGCGCTGAGCCAGCTACGTGGCATTGAGCCAGCTACGTGGCACTGAGCCAGCTACGTGGCACTGAGCCAGCAAGGTAGCTTTGAGCTTTGAGCTAGCAAGGAGGCAGTGAGCCAGCAAGGTAGCTTTGAGCTTCATCATCATATATATATATACACCTATGCAATCCCAACCATGTAATATACTAGATCTAGGGAAAAGCAATTTTTTTGAGGGAGACACGTACCTTTGAGCTGGAGCGGGAATGTGAAATCTAACATTCGAATATCTACTCAGTTGCTGAATATTCCCCACTTTCGTAGCACCATCCTCATCCCCTGGCTGCTTTGCTCTGTCAGACTGTCCCTGGTGGTCGCATCGTGGAATTCTTCGATGTGGATGTGGGGCTTTGGCGGATCATCGCGGCAGAAGAAGCCAAAGGTGCATGTGAATGGGCGGCTGAGGAGGAGGGATTGGGATTGGGATTGAGGTTGAGCACAACATAAACGGCCTGTCGGTCGTTTTATTCGAAGATGTACATGCATATTACTGAATGTTGAATCATGATGTGAAGCCATAGTATGATGGTTGCCAATGTTCTGTTAGTTGCAAGTATTTTGTTTCGGGATGAGGAGCATAGCTCATGATCCTCCTTCTCCTCATCTTCATCTTCATCATCATCATCATCATCCTCATCCTCATGGTCATCCTCATCATCACTAGCAGTGCATTGCCACCATTGTTGCCATGAATCTTGTCATGTCATTTGAAATATTTGCCCATCAGTGTCTTTATCAGTTTGTTCAAACAGCCTGCGGGTTCATGTGACTTTGTTGTCCATGCGCTTATTTCAGCGGCTATTGCGGTTCACAACCGTGCTTTGACTGGTGGCTTGTCACGAGAACCTGATCACAGCATCCCCACAGTTTCGACTGTTTCATTGTGAGGACTTACGTCTCTCAGAGCTTCATCTGGTGTCTTGTCCGCGCCGAAGAAGCCCTTTCCAATCAACGAATCAACGATGTGTATAGCGGTATATTATATATACATATATATATATATGGACAGCGCATCACGGTAGGACTAAAATATCAGCAACGTTCAGCACTAATCTTGGAGGTATGTCCTTGTCAATCGAAATTGCTTACCCCATCCACTAACAAATGGTGCAAGCGCTGTGTGTTCCACCCGGGGGTCGGTGGTTTCAAAGATGGGTTATTTTTGTTAATGCTGAATAAAGAAATAGGATGTTTAGAGTTTTCAACAGGTTGAAAGTCAAGTTTGCAACAAGTTTTTAGCGTCATTGCAACTCATCTTGTCCATTATGTTTATTCAACGTGTTTCATATTCGCACGAGGAATACGTCATATATAATATGCATTTAGAGTATATGATTATGATATTCTAGACTATTCTTTATTCTATCATAATTCCTCTTCAACTTTTCCCAGATTCCTGGAATATTATATCCCGGATTCAATCATTGTTCCTATATAATTCAGCATATTATAGGAATTTTATATGGGTTTTGGTTTTCCTGGATGGCTCAGCTCGCTGGTCTCGCTGGTCTCGCGTTCAGCGAGGACGACGTCCTGAAGCTGTTGCCATCGCCTCCCAAGACAGCGCGAATTCAGACGGCAATCGCTGACTTGCAGGCAGGGTCAACTGGTGTACCAGATAGTATATATATATACATATTATGAGGACTATATATATATAATATGATTACGGTGATGATGATGGTGATGATGATGATGACGATGATGGTTATGATTATGATGATGATAATAATGTATTTTAATATGACGATATGATTTCATCATATATAGCACTATAATATGATAGTAATGTATATAATAGACAGAATTGGCATATACCAGATCATATACATACTATGATTAATGCATACATATGTTTTCCTCCTCCTCCTCGTCGGAACGGCTTCGTTGTGGCAGCTGCTGTTGAATTCTAGGCTGTGACCTCTAATCACGGCCAATAAATTGCCCAAAAGCACGATCGCACATCTTTGTGCATTGATCGAACACATATATATATATTTATTTAACAATAATGATGATCAATGATAATACTAATAATAATATTGTATACATTATAGGCTGCTGGTTAGCTGGTATAAAAAGACATACTTTTATGAAATACATTGAATATACAATCCATTAATATGGGGTAGTAGTATATAGTAATACCAATGAATGGATATTCATGGATATCCAAGCTGGATAAGTATGCACGGTACACTATCAGTGTATTCAATTATGAAGGTGCATATTGCTATGAAATAGACTGAAATAACAAATTAGTATTTACCAACTACCAACCAATCATTTGTGGAGAGCATGTAGAATGATGCGTGGAGAAGCGTCACTAGTGACTTTCCATAAATGGGTAAAAAAATGATCCCAAATTGTATGTTTATTAGTCAGTCTATCATATTCACCAACTCTTATCAACTATATAATAATACATAATATATATATATATTTATCTTATTAACACGCGGTGAACATTGTGAAGGGGTAGCTTCTACAAAAAGGCTGTGCATACACCAACTCTGAACCAACTAGAGCAATTTTATTGATGTCTCAGCCACCTCGGAAGGCCATGACATTACATATGGATTGGTAAAGAAAGACCATTGACTTACTGGTGCTAAACGTAGGGAATGGATGGACGATAAGGATGCAACCTGGGGGTTGCTGGGATGATTTTTGATAGTTAGCCGGTGGATCATTCCCAAAAGTAAATTGTGATGATGATAAACATATGTATTATACAATATGTTGACTGTATCCAGGTGAATTCAACCATTACTCTACCAATAAAAGAACCAATGTTCCATTCCATCCCTGCAACTACTATGTCAAATACCATCCCATTGAATTGTATCAGGAATTCTCTGATTTTATACGAAACGATGTTTTCCCACAGTTATCCTATATGTTATTGAATTTACCACATTGTAACTCCAGATGGGTATAGTTTATTGCTCCATGTGGCACCTCCGTGTATATTCCATGATGATCAAAAATGAAACTAACTATCTACATGCTGTTGATGTTATTTACCATGATAGTAATTTGCATGAAACAAATACACCCTTCATATTATGCACAACAATGCCATTTAAACCATGCTAGTAAATTTCCCAGATGATATAGCTCCATGACTCCACTTTTCGGCCACAACCGCGACTTCCAGATCGCAGTGGGCACTGCCGGACCTCAAGGGCGAATTCCAGATCGCAGTGGGCACAGCCGGACCTCCACCGCGAGTTCCAGATCCCAGTGGGCACTGCCGGACCTCAACGGGCAGATAGAATGCCAGAAGATATGCCAGATAGAATGCCAGAAGATATGTCAGATAGAATGCCAGAAGATATGCCGGATAGAATGCCAGAAGATATGTCAGATAGAATGCCAGAAGATATGTCAGATAGAATGCCAGAAGATATGCCAGATAGAATGCCAGAAGATTTGCCAGATAGAATGCCAGAAGATAGGCCAGAAGATATGCCAGAACATATGCCAGAAGATATGTCAGGATATATGCCAGAAGATATGCCAGATAGAATGCCAGAAGATTTGCCAGATAGAATGCCAGAAGATATGTCAGAATATATGCCAGAAGATATGCCAGATAGAATGCCAGAAGATATGTCAGATAGAATGCCAGAAGATATGCCAGATAGAATTCCAGAAGATTTGCCAGATAGAATGCCAGAAGATATGCCAGAACATATGCCAGAAGATATGCCAGATAGAATGCCAGATAGAATGCCAGAAGATATGTCAGATAGAATGCCAGAAGATATGCCAGATAGAATGCCAGAAGATTTGCCAGATAGAATGCCAGATAGTATGCCACAAGATATGCCAGAAGATATGCCAGAACATATGCCAGAAGATATGCCAGATAGAATGCCAGATAGAATGCCAGAAGATATGTCAGATAGAATGCCAGCAGATTTGCCAGATAGAATGCCAGAAGATATGCCAGAAGATAAGCCAGAACATATGCCAGAAGATATGCCAGATAGAATGCCAGAAGATATGTCAGATAGAATGCCAGAAGATGTGTCAGATAGAATGCCAGAAGATATGCCAGAAGATATGCCAGAACATATGCCAGAAGATATGCCAGATAGAATGCCAGAAGATATGTCAGATAGAATGCCAGAAGATTTGCCAGATAGAATGCCAGAAGATATGCCAGAACATATGCCAGAAGATATGCCAGATAGAATTCCAGAAGATTTGCCAGTAAGAAAATGTATAAATGCCATGGTGGGGATCATTCGAAGTGAAGTAATTTTCGTTGTTTTTTTCAGGGAGAATTCACATGAAGTCACCCATTTTTTCTCGTTGGTCGCATGACCGCTGCGAGGAGTTCGGAACACTGACCGTGGGAGAACGTCCCACCGCTTTGGGCATCGCCTGTTTGAAGCTTCCAGCTGAGGTGTGGATCCGTTCAGAAGCAGTATCGTGTAGTTCAGGGAACCAAAAAATCCACCCAATTGGATGATATGTTTGTCATGTTTAGTAGTGCAATACATGGAGGATATGTTGTTTTACACCATGTTCCTGAAATATCATGGGTTGTTGCTACCTGGGATGCTGTTCCCAATCAGCTTTGGGTTGCGAGCCGCTCGCCAGCATGCTGTCCCCAGGTACACCTGGCTCGCCTGGTAGTGCTGGGATGGACCATGGACATGGGCCCCAGTGCTTGCGTGCTGGCCGCTGCCCTATCTCTGACTCCCAGCTGCGATGTCTTCCTCACGCCCATGAATACACAAGGCGCGCGGGATGCCGCGAGGTTGCAGCACCAGTGGCTGAGGCATGTTTTTAAAGAGAGAACCAGCCATTTTTTTTTACCAACAAGCGATTTTTTGTTGGCTGCCGATGACTTGGTAGTCTTAAAATTTGGAGAAATAGCACAATGCTGGTCGTAATTTTCAAGATTTTGATGTGGATCATGGCGCCCCAAGCACTTTTAATACCATTTAAATCCCTTTGGTACAGAAACCAAAGTTTTGAGAATCTTTGAAGTCAATCAAAGCCACCGATAAAATCTCCAAAGGAGTTGTGGAGCGACCACTCAGCACAGGCGACCTGGATGGGTATTCCCTGTCGCTTTTGCAGAATAGCATCTCTGCAAGAGCGAAATATGATGGTGGCTGGCTCTCAGAACCTCTGACCATCTATGCGCTTTGTTTCTTGGCGTGGGATTGGGGCGAAAGGTGCGAAAACAGGAGACAGGAAAGCCTGAGTTTTTGTTCACCAAGCGAAATTATTTTCATACCTGAATTCTGGAAAACCAAGAAAAAACATGTCTTTGGGGGGTCGCTCCGTGGGCTCTAAAATGGTTGTAATGGAAGGTCTACCATTTGTGCAGGCTTTCCCTGTTTTTTTTTAAAACAGGGTTCTCAAGTTGCCATGTGGATAACGGTCAACATTCGCACCCCCAAGTCATAGATGGGTTTAGATCTCAAACATCAAGTTTGCCATATGTCATTATGTGAGCAAAAGGTACCAATAATTTAAATAATCCCCAATTTGAGAATACATGGGTGGTATAAATCATGCCAATCAGTAGGCTTATTATTGGGTTTAGCACACTACATTTTCGGCCAGAAGTCGCGTCATCGTGCCTTAAGGCGAGAAATGGTTGCAGACCGGTGGAGGGTTGGGCCGCGTGCCGGGCGAGGAGTGGAAATTTGTGCACCAGAGGCGGGGGCTAGGCAGGGGTGGGGAGGAATGAAAACTATGGAGCTGCCTAGATCCTCCAAATACCACAAACAAATGGTCAAAGTACTCAAAATATGAGGTAAAACATGGTACATCACTATTTTTATGGGTACAAACAGATGGCCTGGTTGACAGCTAGACTAGACCCTCTAAGAACCCATTTTCATACGGATAAAAGTCCAAACATAGTGGCTAAAGCAGAGTATCTCACCCAGTTTTTTAAGGTGCTTGGAGGGTCTGGCGATATAAACCGTTGAAATGGTTTTAATCATCTTACTGGTGCTTGGTAGGGAATGAGGGAATGATCCATAATCACTAGTAATAATCATCCCAGCAACCCCCAGCAACCCATCCATTCCCTGCTAAGCACCAGAAAGTCATGAATCACAAACCTTATTTGTTCCAGGGAGATGGAATCAATGGTTGTTGTCTTAGTTTTACTACCAACCAACATTGAATGTTAAACATAGTGCTTGGCTTCAAAGAGAGCTGCTGTCTATCCCATCAGCTGGATAATGATCAGTTGAACCCCAAGTTCTACCTGGGGTCCCAAAAATTGCTCTGAATCCTTTGAACACAAGTAAAACATACGATATATAATTGTAATATACACATGCATATTTATATATATATACATATGGTACCATATATATATATATACACATATGGTACCATATACACACCGAGTAGCAGGGTGGCGTATTGAGCAACCACGGTGTTTTTTTTTCGGCAGGTCCAAGGGGGAAAGCCGCCAACACGAAGACCTAGGTTTGTGTTATCCAAATAGGAGATCCATCATTTGGGGAATTTATAGGGAATATGTTTTTTTTTTAAAGCTCCTTAAGCAGATCCAAGAAGATGGTGGGTGGTCAAGTGGTCAACAATGGCCCTGAAGCATGGTAGGGTTGTTCCAGAGAGGGCGAAGCTTTCATGAAGTCAAGATGGTGGAACAAGGGGCAAGTGGATCACGCCACTCCTCGTTTGAAGGTTAATTATTTACTGAACATCAATTGAGTAATGGACCGCACCAAAAAAAGCTCTCCACATTTGACTATTGAGACGCAGGACGGTTAAAAGCAGGTTGACATTGGTCATTTTGTTCACATCATTTAAAGTGGATGATTGGTGTAGATGGACTCAAAATGACGGCAACATCTACACGCAAAGTCTGGTTGGTGGTTTGGAACATGAATTTTATATAGTTTTATATAATTAATTATGATATATTGGATGTCATCCCAACCCCATTGACGACCTCATATTTTTCAGGATGGTTATTTCACCACCAACCAGAAATCATTAACCATATACCAGTAGTACCGCACAAGGCGGTGGCGGAAGTTTCAAACAGGAAACCTATAGGAGAGATTGGTTGTTGTGAATCAGGGATGGCAGAGCGAATCCACTGATGGACCGAAAGGTGCTTGAGGTCTCCTCTCTTTCTCTCTCTTTCTCTGACTATCTACTTACCTACCAACCTATCTTCTATGTATCTATCTATCTATTGATCTATCTATCTCTCTCCTTCTCTCTTTCATCTAATTACCTATCTACCTATCTACCTATCTACCTATCTACCTACCTACCTACCTATCTATCTATCTATCTCTCTCTCTCTCTCTCTCCCTCTCTCTCTCCCTCTCTCTCTTTCATCTGTCTATCTGTCTATCTATCTATCTGTCTGTCTATCTATCTATCTATCTATCTATCTACCTACCTATCTCTCTATGTATCTATCTATCTCTCCCTGTATCGATCTATGTATCTATCGATCGATCTATCTATCTATCTGTCTAGCCATCTATCTATCTATCTCATCTTCCCAGCTGGCCTCTCTCTCTCTCTTTCATCTAATTACCTATCTATCTATCTATCTATTTATCTATCTACCTATCTATCTGTCTATCTATCTATCTATCTATCTATCTCTCCCTTTCATCTGTCTATCTATCTCTCCCTTTCATCTGTCTATCTGTCTAGCTGTCTACCTGTCTATCTGTCTGTCTTTCTATCTATCTGTCTACCTGTCTATCTGTGGTGCAGTGCCATTCAGTGTAAGTTAGTGTGGTGTAATGTCGTGTGGTGTAGTTCAATTTAGTGTAGTGGAGTGTATTGGAGTGTAGTGTAGTGTAATGTAGTGTACTGGAGTGTGGTGTAGTGTAATGTCCTGTAGTGTAGTGTAGTGGAGTGTAGTGTAGTGTAATGTAGTGTAGTGAAGCGAAGCGACATCTGAACCTCCAAAAGTGGTCCGAACCCCTAGTGTTTTGAACATTTTGACTTCGAAATGTGCTTCTCGCCACAATGGCATGCACTTTTTCGACATCCGAACCTCCAAAAGTGGTCCGAACCCCTGGTGTTTCAACTTCCAAAAGTGGTCCGACAATGGTGTGTTTCGTACATTTTGACTTGGAAATGTGCTTCGCGCCACAACGGCGTGCACTTTTTCGACATCTCAACTTCCAAAAGTCGTCTGATGCTGAGGTGTTTTGTACATTTTGACTTGGGAATGTGCTTCGCGCCACAACTGCGTGCACTTTTTCGACATCTCAACTAGTAAAAATGGTCCGAAGCTGGTGTGCTTTGTACAGTTTGACTTCGAAATGTGCTTCGCGCCACAACGGCGTGCAATTTTTCATCTCTCATCTGGCCAGCTGGCTCCGCACCCGCCGCTTTAGCGAGCCTACTTTTCGACCCTCCTGAGCGCGACTTTCCTACCTTTTCACGCATCTGCAGCTTCTTTCTTCTTACTCTTTCTCTTCTACTCTTCTTTCTTCCAATCTTTCTCTTCTCTCTGCCTCTTCGCTGCTCTGCTTTTCATCTGTCCATATTGTCGGAAGTTTGACTTCTAAACTTCCTTCGGTAAGGCCTAGTTAACCATATTATAAGGCCTATTTTTCAGGCCTAAATTTCAGGGAATATCCGAATATCCCCACAAAATATGGCCCAGAATATGGTACTAACGTACCTCCATGACTTAGGATCCTGAAATCGGCCAACACCACCGCATCATCCAACGCCTGATCAACATTTAGTTCAGGTCTTTGTGATCAAAACCTGCTGCCACATGGCACGCCAGCCAGGCTTTGGAGTCAGTTCTCCGCCAAAGCCACTTGGTGAAAAAGATAGATAAAGGGTCTCCGCCGTATACACGTATGGACCATATGGACTATTCACATTGTGTGTGTGTCAACTGTGAACACAAATATATATATATATATATATGCTATTATTATATATATATATAATTATATATAGCCTATATAGTTATAATGATATTATATATAATCATATACAACGTCCCTATGTACATATGTCTGTATGCATGTATATATATATACATGTGATGTAAACGTATAATTATATATACTTTATATATATGTACACTATCCCCATGACTTGCTTGATGTATTTGGGGCCGCACCTCATTTCAGTAATCATGCATTGATTATAGATTCACCATTGAAGTCACGTCCATAATGTGTCGCATTAGATATATGAAGGAAAATCCGTTACTCATTAAAATCTATAATAAACCATTACAACCATTATAAAACCACTAATTAAACTCACTATAAACCCATATAGTCGCATAAAAACATAGATAAACCATCATCAACATTTATATATGTTCTTATAAGCCACTTAAAAGCCTTGTAAACCCATGATGCCACATCACAGTCCTGCATAATCCCATGCAATCCATCAACTTAAATCAATTATACGCCCTGTGATTCCCTGCTGCATCATACACTATGTACAAATACATACATTATATATATATATATTATATACATATATGGTACACATTGTGGTATAATTATACACATCTATATTCACACATATATATATATATATATACGTGCATATATATATATATACACGTATGATATTACATATACCTTGAATATAGACACCCAGTTAATACAGGGATTCATGTTTGCACATTTGGGATTTCAGCAACACGTGGAGGAAACACAATGTGTATTGCTTATTTATTGCCACATTCTGATAGATGAAGCATGCATGCTTTATCATGCTTGCATGTTTGTTTCCCACTTTGAGGTTTATTTTGCGAATGTTGACACCAGTTTAGCTGAAGTTTATTTCCATAAAAACCGGATACATCCGGATACAAAAAATCCCGATTCAATCCTCATAGATCTCCATGATATTAAAACATAATCCCATTTCTGACCGGTGCTTT